TTCTAATTTCTTTCTTTCCTCTATCTCCTCTCTCTCTCTCTCTCTCTGTCTGTCTCTTTCTCCCTTTCGTTCTTTTCTTTTTTAAAAAAGAGCAAGGAAGTCTTGCCTGATAGCCTAGGCTGGTTCCAGCATGCCAGAATGCTGGGATTGTTGGTGTATACCACCAATCTAGCTTTTGTTTTCTTTTCTATACTGTAGTCTAGTTTTTTTTAAAAAAATGCAGAATCTTTTTAACTATTTGAATTGAAATATTTTTCAAAATAAATGACTTTCAATATATTTGAAGAATAATTTTTATTATTTCTTTTTCTTTTTTGAGACACAGTTTCTCTGTAGTCCTGGCTGTCCTGGAACTCACCTTTTAGATCAGGCTGACCTTGAACTCAAAAGAGCCACCTGTGCCTGCCAGTGCTGGGATTAAAGGCATGTGCCACCACTACGAAGCTCATGATTTGTTTTTAAACTTAAAATTGATTCATAAACAATGGATTTTTTTTGCCCCCTCCCTCAACAGGGTTTCTCTGTGTAGCCTTGTCTATACATTTTGTAAACGAGGCTGGCCTCGAACTCACAGAGCTCCACCTGCCTCTGCCTCCCTGAGTGCTGGGATTACAGTTGAGTGCTTGGCTCTAAACAATGGAATTTTAACAATGAGAAGTGTTGGAAATAACATTTTTGTGAAAGAACCAAGAAAAAAATTGTGCTATGGTGGTGTATGCCTATAATCTCAGCTCTTGGAAGGTGGAGACGATTGGGCGTTTTCAGCCCCTCTTGTAGAGAGTTTGGGGCAGCCTGCACTACATAAAACCCTGTCTGAAAACAAAACAGCACCCTGTTACTTAGTCCTCAGATTTATTTAACAAAGGTGATATACATGCGCAGTAAACACCCAGAAAAACATGGGGCTGTTTGGATGACAAATAAATGGGAGCAGTTATCAGAACATTTGAGCCTTACAAAAGGGCAATTTGGTGAAATAGGAAAAATCAAAAGAGCTCAAGTTCACGCTACACTTTTTAAAGCAAAATTATTTTGATCCATTAAGTTCTCTCTCACTGAGAATAAAAATTTGCCTTGCTGATGATTAGCCGTAACAGGCACCAGTAAAGGCAGATACAAGTTCATGGATACCTCCAAGGATGCACTGCAGAGGTAACGTGCTGTAAAGACCTTGGAAATGTCCTTCCTTCCTTCCTCCCTTCCTCCCTTCCTCCCTTCCTCCCTCCCTTCCTTCCTTTCTTTTTTGGTTTTTCGAGACAGGGTTTCTTTGTGTGCAGTAATTACCTTCTTATGCACAGTTAGGATCAACTGTCAACTTGACGGCCATAGAATCTCATTTGGGGCATTGTCTCTACCAGTTTGACCTGTGGTTTTGTTCTGTCCTTTTTTTTTTTTTTTTTTACTTTTTTGAAACTGGGTTTCTCTGTGTAGCCTGGGCTGTCTTGGACTCACTTTGTAGACCAGGCTGACTTCGAACTCACTGAGATTCATGTGCCTCTCCCTCCCAGAGTGCTGGGATTACAGGCATTCGCCACCACTCCCGGCTGGGAATCATTTTCTTAATTGCTAGTTGATATAGGTAGGCCAAGGCTACTGTGGATCTGGGATGCATAGGAAAACTAGCAGAGCAGCCAGAGAGATCAAGTCAAAAAGCAGTGTTTTCCCATGGTTTCTGTTTCAGCTCTTGCCTTGAGTTCCTTTCCTGACTTCCCTCACTGATGGGCTGTGACCTGGGAGTGTAAGCTGAAATAAATCCTTTTCTCCCCTGGTTGCTTTTGGTCTTGGTATCCATCACAACAACAGAAGAGCAGTGAGTTTCCAGTTTTCATCGTTTGACACAGTTGACCCTGACTGTCCCCTACAGCACCATCAACCCTCCTCCTTTCTAGTCTCTTGCTGCTGCCTCATCTCCCTGATTTCTAACTTTGGAGCTACCAGGATTTATCTTCTGATCTTTTTTCTGATAACTTCCTCCTCTCTGATTTTATGCAGTCACTTGGCTTTAAGTGACATTGGTATATTGACAGCTGTGTGTGGGGGTGGGTTGGGTTGGGTTTTTTTTTTTGTTTGTTTGTTTTCTTTTTTTTTTTTTTTTTTTTGAGACAGCCTGTCTTTTTATGTAGTGTTGACTGTCCTAAAACTCACTATGTAGACCAGGCTATCCTAGAGCTCACAGAGATCTGCCTGCTGCTGACTTCCATGAGCTGGGGTTAAAAGCATGGTCATCCTAAAAGGCTAGTAGTTTTATTTAGAGTAGAATCTAAACTCAGTGGGCATGGTGGAACGCTCCCAGATATCTTGGCACTTGGAAGATTGCTAGTTTGAGTTCACAATTTAGGCTACACAGGAGAGCAGACCTCTCCAAAAACAAAACAAAACACCCAAAATGTACCCTTGCTTCTGCTTTCTCCCTTCTCCCCAACTACATTGTTATAGTTATTTTTATAAAATTGTGTTTGCTTATCCTAGTTCACTCTTAACCCAGCTGCCATTAAGTGATTGAGCCTCTGTTATGTTTGTTTAGTAGTAAGCTTTACAACACAAGAATTGAGCAGTTATTATTCTATTCTTGATCCTCTAAGCTAAACTGGTTTCCTCCCAGCATACATCCCAGGACACTTTGTAGCTTTCCTTAGCTCCAGCTCTTTTCTCTTGATGTTTTTTGGACATCTGCCTATGGCTGAATCCCCTGGCTCAGTCCTCTACTTCCTCTCCTCTAACTCCTCCTTCCTTGGGTAGCAGGAAGTCAGCTCTATTCTCTCCCCTGCTCAGTGATTGGCTATAAGCTTCTTTAGTCACATATCAGGGGACAATGGGGAGCAGAGTTTATACAGCGTTGAGATGGTCGATTCTCAGAACAAGGCTTGCAACTAGATATGGGGCATACAGAAATCAGCATTTGAATTACACTGTAACCTTTTGCCTACACTACACCTTTTCAGGATGATTGACAGTTTTAAGCCAATTGCATCAGTTTTGATATTAAATTGATTTTCTCCCCTTCCCCAGTTTATAAGAGTCAGGAGACTTGAATGAGACTTTGGCATTAGTAGATCTGAGCTCTGTGTAGCCTGCTCCGATTACTCAGGTGACCTGAGAGAGAGGGAAGGGTGCGTAGGTCGCAGTAGGAGACTGCACCCAAACACGGAAGACTGGGTCAGCTCAACAAAGGGTAAAAAGATTAGCAAAAGAGGAAAGTCAGGTCTGGTCTGGTGTAAGGCATTAAAACTTACTCTTGTCTCTAGGAAATCCCTGTGGAGTGCTTCTTTGTGACATGCAATGGCGTCCTCGCCGCTGCCGGGGACACGGTGCAGGATGGAGCTGTGTACAGTTTGGAGCCCAGACTCTGTGGGGGCAAAGGAGGTAGGATGTGACACTGGCGGCACGCTGTGACAGCTTCTGTGGTTCTGAGCCATGAGTTAGAAATGAACAGACTTGCTGGTCTCTGCTACACCAGCCTTGTTTTGCCTTGAGAAATCATTTATACTCAGTTTTGGGTAGGTTTTTTTGGTGTATTCTTTTTGAGAAAAACAAAAACAAAAAACACAAAGTAATTCAGCTTCTCCAGCCAGGCTGCTCTTTGAGAACCTTGGCTCCACGACTTTAGGGAGGGTTAGATGATGAAAGGTAACCATTATTCTTGTAGGTTGTTGAAGGGCAGGCTTTAAAACAATCAGATTGCCACTTTTATCAAGATTTGTCTCCTGTTGTACTTCTAAGGGTGACCCAAAGTCACCTTGGGAAACAGATCTTCCCCGGCCAGTGGAGTAAGGTCTTGGGTGTACTGGTTAAGAAGAGAGCAAGAGGGCCGGTTCACAGCCGTCTGGCTCCAGTTCCAGGGGACCCATGCATCAGGCAAGCATGTTGTGCACACATCAGTGTGCAGGCAGTACCCGTGTGCAAATCTTGTTCTTTTTCTTTGGTTTGGTTTTTCAAGACAAGGTTCTGTGTAGACCAGGCTGGCCTCAAACTCACAGATCCACCTCCCTCTGCCTCCCACCACACCCAGCAAATAAATAAATCTTAAAAAGAAGAAGAAGAAGAAGAAAAAGAGCAAAGAAAGTAGAAGCATGAAAACAGAGCATGCGTGCTGCAGGTTTCTTCAGATGCACAAGCCTGTTCCTGAGTTTCCTCAGAGCCTGATGTGGTTTGGTTTCAGAGCAGCGACATCTCAGACTAGCATCTTGCCTGTTGAAGTGTGTCCATGAGAAAGCAGCATGTCCTCAGATGCCATCAGCTTAAAGTTGACCTTCCCATAAACTTAAGAAAGAAAAACTGCCAGTGTGGCACACACCTTTAATGGCGGCACTCAGGAGGCAGAGGCAGGGGCATCTCTGAACTCATATCCAACCAGGTCTGCAGAGTGAGTTCCAGGGCAGACAAGATATGGAAGGCCACACAGAGGAGCCCTGTCTTGAAAAACCAAAGGGGTCGGCAGGGGAAGCACACCACTTTACTGCTATTACTATTTGTCCTTTAAGACAAGGCTCATAAGTAGTTCAAGCTGGCCCTGACCTTGTGGCAGTCCTCCTGCCTCAGTTTCCCAAGTGCTGCGATTGGTCAAGGGTGCCAGTATGCCAGGGACACCTCATGATTTTGAAGTTTTTGTTTGTTTCTTTGTTGACTTACTTGGGACAGGGTTACTGTAGCTAGTCTGATCTGGCACTCACAGTGTAGCCCACGCTGGCCTCAAATTCACTTGAATTTTCCTTTGTCCAGCTTCCCACAGTGCCTGAGCCACCATACCTGTGTGGAGCAGGCTGGCCTCAGACCCGCAGCGACCCACCTGCCTCTGCTTCCTCTCTGGTTGGTTGGTAAACTCAGTTGGCTAATTTGGTGTGCTTCCTGTAGCCGGTTTGTGCTCCAAGGGGAAGGAGTGGGATTTCCTACAGTGAGCCACTGTATACATCCTCACATAAACCTTCTAATTCTGTACAGGTGGTGTATGTATTCCTGTGCATGTGTGTATGCGTGCAGATGTGTCAGTTAGTGTGTGCATGGAGTTTGTGGTTGAGATGGGTTGTCTTCATCTGTCACTCTTCACTTTGTGGACACAGGATTTCTCACTCACCCTGAGCTCATTAGCTTGGCCTGTGAGCTCCAGGGATCATTTAGGTGTGTTTCTGGGTTGATAAGCATGTGCCCTGTGTCTAGCTTGTGCACGGATGCTGAAGCTCCGGGTTGCAGTTCCTTGTGCTCATGCAGCAGGCGCTTTGCTGAGTGAACCGCTGAGGTCCCATCACATAGTTCTGCACCTAGGAGTCTTGGGGTTTCTGGTGTGGACTAAAGCTTTTCACTGATCGTGCTGTGCAGTTCAGCATTTCAAAAATACAACGTGAAAGGCAAAAGACACTAAGCCAATCAAAGTGATCAGCACCTTTGTTTCCGGGATAAAGACGGTGATGTCCGTCTCCTTTTCAACTGGAAAAAGAAAGAGCGGAGTTTACTTTTAGTATTGTAATGTGGGCTATTTTCACTAATCCTAGCTTGCATCTATCCTTGCCATCCTTAACCTTCTTAATCCAAATATATTGCTTCAGGTTTTGGGTCTATGCTTCGAGCGCTTGGTGCGCAGATAGAGAAGACAACCAATCGAGAAGCCTGCCGGGATCTCAGTGGGAGGAGATTACGAGATGTCAATCATGAGAAAGCGTAAGTATCCACTTTGTAGTTAATCTCTTACACTATGGTGACATTAAGCATTTAATGACACACTTTCTGCAGAAGTATCACAGTATGATTAGGAGTCCATTAATTGTCTAGGGAGCATTTTTTATATAGTCAAAATGCTATAGGTGAGTTCTGGGAAGCACCTTGTTAACAGAATTCCTGATGCAAGCATCACAGAGGGAGCATTAGTTGCCTGGCCGTTAAACCTGGTACAGTGAAGAGATTGGTGGACTGACAGACATGAGTGTGTCTTAATAAGACGTAGCATGCAGTTCCACCAGAAACTTGATTTTTGTTTGCTTGTCTATTGTGTCTTTATGAGTCTGTCTGTCTCCCTCTGTAGCTCTTGCTGTCCTTTAATTCAGTGTATACCAGGCAGGCTGGTCTCGAACTCATAGAGATCTACCTGTGCACCACTAGGCCTAGAATAAGTAAACTTAATAGGTAGGAGCATAAGTGAAATGATAGTAGACTAACTGTCCAGTTTGGTGGTAGAGCACTTGCTTAAGGTTTGATCCCTGTGGTTGCCTGCTCTCCGTAAATAGTACAGTAGCTGCTTAAGTCAGTGACGGTTATTAACAAGCTTATGTCATGTACGTGACCGTGCTGCACTTTTATGCTACTCATGCCTGGAGGTTTTCTTTTTTTAAATAATACATTACCGTTAAACAGGTGAGTAAATACTACTGTGACTACAGTGTCATTAAGCGATGAGAGTTTTCTAGCTTCATTATAGTGTGGGACCACCTTCATATGTGTGGTCTGCCAGCGAGCTTAGTGCTGTGCGACACATGACACAGCCCTTTGGTCACAGCTCCGTCTTTCGCCAGGATGGCTGAGTGGGTAAAGCAGCAAGCTGAGAGAGAGGCTGAAAAAGAGCAGAAGCGCCTGGAGAGACTGCAGCGGAAGCTTGCAGAGCCTAAGCACTGCTTCACCAGCCCCGAGTACCAGAGGCAGTGCCATGAAATGGCTGAGCGACTGGAGGATTCAGTCCTCAAAGGTGAGAGCGAGGATTTCTCTGTGCTGTGCAGGCCCCCGGGGGAGCCATGAGCTTAAGACCACTCTACTACATGGCGGGCCTCTGGAGCATTTGGAAGAGGGTGCTGGGAGCCGTGGAACGTCTCCTCAAAACTCAGCACAGACCTTTCACTGGCTAGCCCCTCCACCATGCCCAGCGCAGATGCAACATTTGGCTTCACTCCCGCTTTCTATGGCTCCGGGGCCCCAGGGAAGAACATGATTTCTCTCCTCCATTGTGAGAGAACCTGTAATGGCTGAGCTGTCTCCCTAGTCCACCTTTTCTTTTCTTGTGGAGCGTAGGGCTAGGGGAAGTGTCTAGGAATCTGTATACACCTCAGCATATTTTTTAAGCATCCAGCTCAGTGTCCTGGGCCTGTCAAGGGTGTAGTTGACTTAAAGGGAATTTTCATCAAAGGGCTGTGCTAGAACAGGAAGGACAAGTGTATGTAAGTATCTGTTAGAAATCAACCTTCAGCCCCAAGTTACTAATTGCATATTGGTGTTTTAAAAACACTGGTCAAAGTTGGCCGTTGTGATACAGTTTTAATCTAAGCACTTGGGAGGCAGAAGCAGGCAGAGAGACCAGCCTGGTCTACAGAGTGAATTCCAGGACAGCCAGGGCTGTTACACAGAAACCCTGTCTCAAAAAACCAAAAGCAATCAGACAAATAAAGACACTAGAGCAGTGTAGACAGGGTCAGAAGGTCAAGGTCATCTTCAGCTACACAGTGTATATAGGCTCGCTTGGGCTGAATGAGACCTTGTCACAAACAAATGTGGTGTTTATTTAATTCCATAATGTTTATTTGAAATATTTTTGAACTTGAGAGTAATTTCATAAGCATATAAAAACTTGGAATGAAGAAATTTACATTCCTCAGGTGAGGAACAGCCATAACTAAGTGTGTATGAAAACAACATAAAGAAACTTGTTACTTTGCATGCTGATACGCTTTTTGTTTTGTTTGGTTTTTGGAGACCGGGTGTAGTCCTTGGATGTCCTAGAACTTGCTTTGTAGACCAGGCTGGCCTCAAACTCAGAGATCTGCCTGCCTCTGCCTCCCTGATTAAAGGCATACCACCATGCCTGGCTGCTTTTTCTTTTTTCTTTTTTTTTTTTTTTTTTTTTTTTTTTTTTTTGGTATCCTGACAGAAACTACTTAAATTTTTCACTCAGGTATGCAGGCTGCCTCCAGCAAGATGGTTTCAGCAGAAATCAGTGAGACTCGGAAACGGCCAAACAAGTTAAAAAGGGACCAGGGAGCTGGTGCAAAGAAAAGGAAATGCTTTTGGTAAGTCCTTCCCACTTTCCTCCACATTGATCTTTGGGGACCTGGATGATGTTTCCATCTTGTCTGTTCGTACAAGTGCCTAGTCTCCTCCCTCCTTTTTCCACTTTGATTTTCTTGTGAGTGTGTGTGAGGATATTGCTCTGCCAGGCTACTCTTCAACTTTGGGGTCCTCCTGCATCAGCTTCCTCTGCTTGGGTCACAGATCAACATGGGCCACCACACCCAGGCCTAGAATAAGCACTTTTTTAAGTAGCGTCGACAGCGGCTCAAATTTCCAAAGTTTGTCAGTCTTCAGATTTTGTCGATTGGCACCCAGGACACTCCAGTAGTGTTTTCTGCCGTGGAGGCCATTCAACAAAATCTGAACAATAAATTTAGGTGTGTACATGTTTGTGTGTGTGTGTGTGTGTAGGCAGGCCAGAGGTCGGCACTGATGTCTTCCTGCCCTGCTTTCCACCTCTTTCTTTTTGTAGATGGTCCTTCATCGAGATCTCCATTCAGTTACTAACCAGTGAGTGCCAGGGATCTTCCTACCTCCTTGTATTTCTTGGTCCCACCCTGTGCTGGGATTTCAGAGGCACCCGTTTCACCTGCCTGTTCACATGGGTAGTGGGGTTCTGGATTCAGGTCCTCATGCTTGTATGTCAGGCACTTTACCAGCTGAGCCATCTACCAGCCCCGTAAAGGATAATTTTTCTCCCTTCGTAGTGAAACATCACATTAAAAAAATAGACTTTTTCATTTTTTCTCAGATTTTTATTTCTTTCTGTGTATGGACGTTCTGCCTGAAGTAGAGTCACGACACAGAACATTTTCTTCATATAGTCCCCTTGTTCCCCCAGACTTCCCTTTAGCCATGTGCTCTGGACCATTACCACCAGTTCAGCATCTGTTTCTGTTTCAGCATTTTCAGGTCACATCAACTCTGCCTGCTTTCTTTAGTTTAATGTATGCTTGCTTGCTTTCCCTTCCTCCCTTCCTTCCTTCCTTCCTCCCTCCCTCCCTCCCTCCCTTCCTTCCTCCCTTCCTCCCTCTCTCCCTCTCTCCCTCTCTCATCTCTTTCTCTTTTTCTTTCTCCTTCCCTTCCCTTCCTTTCTTCCTATCTTCCTTTATTTTTTTAAGACAGGGTTTCTCTGTAGCCTTGTCTGTCCTGGAACTTACTCTGTAGTCCAAGTTGGCCTTGAGCTCACAGAGAATTGCCTGCCTCTGCCTTCCTGAGTGCTGGGATCACAGGCATGCTTCACTGGGCCCAGCTTAATGTATGTTTCTTAAGAGTCGTCCATTTTTAGCGGTTTTGGTTTTTTGAATCAAGGCTCTTACTGTGTGGCCAAGAGTAATGTATTCCTGCTCCTCCTGCCTTCCAAGTGCTGGGATTACGAGCACACACTACCTTGCCAAGCTCTTACTTTTTATTGCAGTGCTACCTGGATATTCCAATTTCCTTATCCATTCTCCATTTGAAGACACATTGAAGACTTTGTAGTTAGGGCAATTGTCCTGTTTGGGGTTATCATTGCTGCAGTGAAACAGCATGACCAAAGCAACTTGGCAGGGGGAGGATTGATTTGGCTTACACTTTCACATCACTGTTCATCACTGAGGGAAGTTGGGGCAGGAACCTGGAGGCAGGAGCTGATGCAGAGACCGTGTAGGAATGTGCTGCTTATTGGTTTGCTCCCTGTGGCTTGCTCAGCCTGCTTTCTTATAGAATTCAGGACCATCAGGCCAGGGGTGGCCACCCACACTGGGCTGGGCCCTCCCCCCATTGCTTACTTATTAAGAAGATGCTCTACAGACTTGCCTACAGTCCAGTCTTATGGAGGCATTTTTTAAATTAATTTATTTTATGTATATGAGTGTTCTATATGCATTTACACCTGCTAGAAGAAGGAATCAGTTCATATTCTAGATGGTTGTGAGCCACCATGTGGTTGCTGGGAATTGAACTCATGACCCTTGGAAGAGCAGACAGTGCTCTTAAGCACTGAGCCATCTCTCCAGCCCCTTATGGAGGCATTTTTGGTAAGGTCACCCCCTGTCAGATGGCTTGAGCTGTGTCAGCCTACATGAAACTGCCCAGCGCCGCAGCTACAGATGAAGCATAGGGTGTCCCCTCTAATGGTGATCTGGAGACGGAGCCTAGCGTCACACAGGTTAGGCCAGCACTGCGCACAGCTTCCCGCAGACCCAAGGCATTTCTTCCCAGCTTCGTACTGTGTCGCATTGCCAACGGTTGGGGTTAACAGAGAAAGGTAAAGTTTCAGGCATAATTTAAGGAGAATCACTGGTTGGTTGGTTGGTTGGTTGGTTGGTTGGTTGGTTGGTTGGTTGGGTTTTGAGACAGGGTTTCTCTGTGTAGCCTTGGCTGACCTGGACTTGCTTTGTAGACCAGGCTGGCCTCCCAAAGTGCTAGGATAACAGGTGTGCGCCACTGCGCCCCGCTAAGAATCACAATTTTAAAAAAGAAGGAACCGAGAGAGCACGCCAGCGAGGGCATGTGTACTGAGGGAGAGCGTTCCGGCGGGAGCACGGGCACCCACGTTTGGTGTTACGGTGGGCCAGTGCAGCCCCTTGAGGTGTTTCCACTTCCTTTTATGCCTCTGGAATGTTCTTTTCTGAAAGTTATCTACTTGCCATCTTAAGCTAGCCAGTGCTTTTCTTTCTTTCTCTCTCTCTCTATTTCTTTCTTTCTTTTTTATTTATTATTTACACAACATTCTGCCTGCACACCAGATCTCACTTATATGGTATAAGCCACCATGTGGTTGCTGGGAATTGGACTCAGGACCTTTGGAAGAACTGAGTGTTCTTAACCTCTGAGCCATCTCTCCAGCCCCCTGTGCTTTTCACAGTTCACCACCCAGATAAGGTGTAGGTTGAAATGGTGTCACTTTCTGCTGCTTCCCACAGGTTGGACATGGAAGGACTGGAGGCGGCCGAGGGGTCCAGTGCTGGAAGCTCAGATGATGATAGTGACGAGGCACCTAGTACTTCAGGGCTGAGCTGCTCTGCTCGGGAAAATGGCAGTGATGGTGGTGGAGCGGAAGTCGACTGTCCTGGCAGTTCTCAGAGCTCGGGATTGGGCACACACTCTGAGTCGCCCAAAGAGCTTCAGAACCCCGTGACTGACCCTGGGCAGGGTATTTTGGAGAGCACAAGAAGTGAGCTGGGAGCAACATCTTCTGGGGAGGACAGCGAGAGGAGGAAGGTCACAGAAACAGAAGAGACCCTGGCAAGGAAGGAAACACAGAGTCCCAAGCCCACAGAAAAGGACCAAGAGACAGAAATGACTGGTGGGGACAGAGCTGCCATGTCTCTCTTTGGAGAAGATGGGAAAATCGTTCCTATGGCTAACCTGGAAGGAAGCTGCTCAGGAGACACAGTACGTTGGGGTTCTATTTGTTTTTCCTCTTTAAAAAAAATAGCTAGGTGTGGGTAGAGCACACCTTTAATCCCAGCCCTCAGGAAGCAGAAGCAGGCAGATCTCTGAGTTTAAGGCCAGCCTGGTCTACAGAATGAGATCCAGGACAGCCAAGGCTGCAACAAAGAATCCTATCAACAATAACTGTGTGTGTGTGTGTGTGTGTGTGTGTGTGTGTGTGTGTGTGTGTACACGTACAGAGAGAGAGAGAGAGACAGAACAAGAGTGCATGAGTCCATGCTCATGCACTGGGTGACCTGGAACTTGCTTTGTAGACCAGGCTGGCCCCAAAGTGAAGATGATCTTCCTTCTTTATACCTCTCCAGTGCTGGGATTACGGCCATGTGTGCCATCAACCCATCCCTTTCATTTCTTTCCAGGTTTTATATTTTACGTGTGTGGATAGTCTGCCTGAGTGTATGTCTGCATGAAGTGTGCATGCTTGTATCCACGAAGAGCACTGGATCCGCTGGAATTGGAGTTACAGATGATGTGAATGCCTTGTAGGCACTGGGAATCAAAGCCATGTCCTCTGGAAGAGCAGCCAGTGCTTTGAACCTCTGAGCCATCCATCTCTAGCCCCCTTTTAGTTTAGTTGTTTTTTCTCTTTCTTTTCTGTCGGTTGAGATAGGGTCTCTTTCTCTGTCTGTCCCTGTCTGTAGCCCAGCCACTTGAACTCAGGGTAGTCCTTTTCACCTTCTAAATCTCTGAGTACAAGGTGATCCACTGTGATTACAAAGTCATCCACTGCAGGGTTTCTTTCTTCTTCTCTAGCTGAGGTGGTGTCCGGTCTGCACAGGAGTGGGTAGGATGAAGATGTGCCTTCATACAGCTGCTTAGGGAAAACATTTAATCTTGATGAGAAGCTGTCTCCTCTGTGTTCTAGAATTACACTCTTTTGCCACTAGATGGTGTACTTGATGCCATGTTCATGTTCTAAGACCTCTTATGCCTGGTTTGGATTTTTTTTTTTAATTGCTTTTTTTTGGGGGGGGGTGTTTTATGGTTGATGAGGTTTTTTATGTAGATATGAGGGAGAGGACAGAGGCGTCTGGAAGGGTCCAGGCTGAACTGGGCCATGGTGGGGGTATTGGGAAGGGGGAAACAAGAGAAGGCAAGTGGATGAAGTGATGAGCCGAGGACCAAGAGAGCGTGAGGCAAAATGGCAGGTTTATATAGGAAATAGAAGCCTGGGAAAGAGAAACAAGTCTTTAAGACTTTCTTAAAGAAAGTCTTCTTTAAGACAGCGTCTCACTGTGAAGCCCTGGCTGTCTTAGAACTTACTGTGTAGACCAAGCTGGCCTCTAATGCCTAGAGATCTGCCTCCCTCTTCCTCCTGAATTCTGAGACTAAACACAGATGCTACCATGCCTGTCTTACATTTATTTGTGTGTGTGTGTGTGTGTGTGTGTGTGTGTGTGTGTGTCTGTCTTGTCTATGTATGTGTATATACATAAGTGTATGTGGGTATCCACGCCAGAACAGGGTGTCTGATCCTTTAGCCAGACTGTTAGCCACCTGATGCTAATATCCAAACTCTAGTTCTCATGATAGAGCAGCAGATGTTCTTGAACACTGAGCTTTCTCTCTAGCCCACTGTTTGTTTGTTTATACATGCAATAAATAGCAAGGCTATATTGGTATTTTCAAGTTGATGAACTGTGCTATATTTCCTACTACTAAATTGCGACTCAGATTTTTCTTTCTTATGTGAGACAAAATTGAGTAATTGTTACCTGGATATGAAGGTCTTTCCTGAGGAAGAGAAAAAACCCATTCCTTTGAAGTTTATCATTAAACCTAAGTCTCTCATTCTGTTCTTTTTATCCTTTTAGTTGGGACCTTTAGCTTTTAATTGCTGAACCATTGGGGCTAGAGAGCTCAGAGGTTAAGTGCACTGACTGTTCTTCCAAAGATTCTGAGTTCAATTCCCAGCAACCATATGGTGGCTCATAACCATCTGTAATAAGGTCTGGTATCCTCTTCCGGAATGCAAGCAGAAAACTGTATAAATAATAAATCTTAAGCAAACAAGGAAGGAAGGAAAGGAAAGAAAGAAGAAAAAGAAAAGAAAAGAAAAAGAACATGTTCCAATCTAAGCACAGTGGCACATACCTGTAAATCTCAGCATTTAGGAGGCAGAGGCAGAAGTATTACTGAATGTTTGAAGCCAGGGCTTTATAGCAAGACCCTGTCTTAAAAAGCCAAAAATAGATGCCAGGTATAGTGGTACATGCCTGTAATCCTAATGAGACCCCATCTTGGGTGCTGCGAGGGAAGGGCCTGTCAAATTCTATGCATGTTACTGTCTTGAATGTTTGTTTCTAGATACATAGATAAGAAATTAGCTTTCTGTGTATATCAAAACCGCATATGGAATGGCGTCTAGATGACAAGTCAATAGCAGGGTGATGGTACAGTAAATATCAGTTCCTTGAAAATAGAGCATTGGTAATTATAGTTTTCCTTCAGAGGAAGGGGCCGGCCTTACTTCTTTTCTCTTCCCATCAGGCTCCTGCTCCAGAAGCTGTGGATCTGTCAGCGTTCCGCTCTGCGGCGGAGTTGGAGTCGCTGGGCTTGGAGAGGCTCAAGCGTGAGCTGATGGCCCTTGGGCTGAAGTGCGGGGGGACCCTGCAGGAGCGTGCAGCCAGGCTCTTCTCTGTCAGGGGCCTGGCAAGGGGGCAGCTTGACCCCGCCTTATTTGCCAAGCCTTCGAAAGGGAAGAAGAAGTGAGTTTTCTGTCTTGATATGGACTGTGGCCAATGTTTCTGTTGATACTAAAAGCCGATTTTTTTAATAACTTGGTTCTAAGTTGTTTCTTTTCATTGGTACCTGGGTTTGAGGTGTTTATTGGAAGAGAAAACTTTGTTATTTTTCTTTTTGCTATTTTTGAGATAGACTCACTCTAACCCAGACTAAGAACTGTTTAGTTCACTTTGGTCTCAGACTTGGCAGTGATTCTCCTTTCTTCAGTATGAGCTGCTGCGCTTATCTTATCAGAGGTTTATACATTTCTTTGGCTTTATATTGTGTCATTTGTATAAAATATTTTCAAAAAATTTGTGTAACCCAAAGTTTGAGGTTTGCAGGCAGTTCTTCATACCTCTGTCTTATGATACAAACTTCTTTAACTGTGTGGGTTTCCCGGATGGAGCCCAGCTGCTTCCAGGCCTCTCACTGGGGATTTTTAGTCCAGCTAGGGCCCTGTCTATATTGTTTGGTTTTCAGAGAATTAAGTCATTACCTCCTGAAGCCTTAGATCACCGATTACAGATTTTTATTTTATTATTTTTTTAGTGTATTGCCCAATTAGCAAATATTTGTGTTTTCTGTAAATGTCTGATTGTTACTGACTACTCAGGACAGAAACTACCCTGCACCCTTCTTCCGACCCAGCAGAAGGTCGTAAGCATGGTGACCGCTGTGCACTGTTGAAAAGAGCGTACACCCAGGCTGGGCACAGTGGCAGAGCCTTTCTTCCCAGCACTTAGGAGGCAGAGCAGGTGGATCTCCGAGTTTGAGACCAGTCTGGTCTACAGAGTAAGTCTGGGAAAGCCAGGACTACACAGAGAAACTCTATCTGGAAAAACAAAACAAAAAAGTAAGATCCATTGAGTTGGCAAGGAGTGTGTTCTGGCACACTCATTATGTGAGTAGTTGGTAGGATCATTCACATGACCTGTCTTTGCTGGTTTATTTTAATAAAGAAATAAGAGAAAACTCAAATCTCAACTATGACTGTGGGAGTTGCCTTTCTTGAGATAAGGATAACTTTATAGCGTTTGCTAAATTGTTGGTTGTGTTAATTTAGTGATTTTTATGCATAATGTGTCTGCATTGCCTTAAACGTCTCTTATTTGGTGCTTTTGGATTTTCTCCATCTTTCACAATTTCATACAGGTGTACAGAGTATCACACACTTGTGTCTGTTCTGTCATCATCTGGTCCCTGTATCTGATGACAAGTCAGGGGAGTCACACAGTTTCTGTCACATCTTTTGGGGGACCTCTGTTTTCAGGTGTGCCTAAGTGTAGTCTACTTGTTTTTACCTTGGAGTTTTTACCTTTGTAGTTTTATAGATTGATTTTCCCGCCCTGTCCTAACGTCTCTTTCCTTCTGGGATACAGACATGCTGGCCCACCCTGTGACTGTGCCTCCTCTAAGTCACCAAGTCTGTCATTGTTCCCCACTCCTACCCAAACATTTCTGTCCCAGGGTTGTCTGCTTTCTGTGATCTAATCAAGCTGCTAAGGGTCTCCAAGGCAAAGCTGCCTGGTAGAGGGGTGTGGGAGCCTCAGGACCCCCCTGTTCGTACATGTGGAGTTTCCAGAGGGTGGTTCTGGAGGAGCAGCCTAGATACCATCACTCACTCGTGCTCACAGCAGGAAAGAACCCTCCCTGTTCTTCAGGGAGGGTCGTTTTTCTAGTGTGGGTACCTGAACTGTCTCATACTGTATTGGCTGGTTTTATGTCAGCTTGACACAAGCTGGAGTCATGGGAGAGGAAGAAGCCTTAGCTGAGGAAATGCTTCCATGAGATCCAGCTGTAAGGCGTTTTCTCAATTAGTGACCACAGGGGAGAGGGCCCAGCCCATTGTGGGTGGTGCCATCCCTGGGCTTGTCCTGGGTTCTATAAGAAAGCAGGCTGAGCCAGCCATAGCGGCACCCTCCGTGGCCTCTACACCAGCTCCTGTCTCCAGGACCCTGCCCTGTTTGAGTTTTTGTCCTGACCTTCATTGTCTGCAATGTGTATAAGCCCTTTTCTCCCCACCTTGCTTTTTTGTTTTGTTTTTGCTTTTTGGTCGTGATGTTGCATCACAGCAACAGAAACCCTGAGACATACCATGTAGGTATCTATTCAGACTTTGAAAGGACTTGCACTTTTCAGTACCAGGTACTGAAGGGCCAAGGTAGGATTGCTTGATCTCACAAGTTGGAGGTCAGCCTTGGCAACGTAGCAAGACCCTATTTCAAGACATTCCTGCCTTCCCCCAACCCCCGCAAAAAAATGTTGGGTGCAGACCTTTAGATATTGTAGGCTCTGTGAGATTAAAGTTCTTTGCTCTATAGCAGGTCAGTTGGGCAGCCGTACCTGAAGAATTTCTGTTGCTGAAGCAGGTTGCTGGGCTAGTGAGTGACCTTTCCTAATGACCTGGCTGGTCTTCAGGTTGCCAGAGCTCTATCTCTGCCCTATCTTAGTTAGGGTGGGAGAGTGGGCAGCCCTTGGTCAGCTCACAGGCATGTGGGCCTTTTACCCATGAGAAGAGATGATCGCTCTGATTGTCCTTCCCCCGTGGAAGGTGTAGTTTATGTGCAGTGCCTTTCTGCTGGACGGCTCTGTCAGACTCCCTAGATACCAGTTCCCGCCATGGGTCTGATGTCTCAGTTCTTCAATTTCAAATACTAAAAGCAAGTTCCTTTTAGATACAGAACCCAAACCAGCTTGAGGGGACCCGGGTCTCTGAGGTGTCCCCACAGGGAGGGAACCCTGCTGGTTAAATGGTGTGTGTTTCAGTGTGGAATCCTCTCTTCCACAGACTTGAGGGCTGAATCGACAGGGCAAAACTTGAGGAAGCTGTGGCCTGTGAGATGTGGCCTTGGCCTTGCCAGAGCAGGGCTGGGTGACCTTCCTTGGAAAACTGCCTGTGGCGTCAGTTTCTCTTTAGGACTGGAGCTCCAGTGTATAGCAGAAACATGACATGGTGGTACACTCTGTAGTCCTAGCACTTGGAGGCCAGGCCAGGAAGGTGAACAGTTTGAAATCACCCAAGAAGCCTTAAATAATAACAAAGAAAAGCTGGGACTAGTGCAGTGAGAGTGTCTAGGTCTGTAACAGATGAGGCCTTGGGCTCCTCTCTGGCGTGAGAGGAGCGGGACGAAGCTTGAAATGGGAAAAGTATGAAGTAATGGGAGGTGCAGACAGACACGTCTTGGGAGTGCAGTCGCTGCTATGGCACTGAGCCTGCTAGAAACCTCTGGGCTTGCCAGGTGGCTCACTGGCCCACTTCGTCTGCTCGGCCCAGGAACGCTGTAGTCTGGGGAGGCGTGTCACATCTTCCGCTTGAAGGTCATCTCAGGACACCTCCCACATGTTTCCAGCCGTGGATCTTGGAGAGGAGGTGGCAGCTTCTGTGGTGGACTTGGCTGCCGCATCTGCTTCCAAGCTGCGGAGAATGCACACCCAGGTCAGTCCCCAGCACTCCCTGCTGGAGTTCCCACCTCCCTGAGTGCAGCCCACGTACGTGCTGTGGCCTCCAGTCTCTGCAGCCTGACCCTTCTTCCCGTCTGACCTCATTTTCGCTGTGCTTCAGCTGCAGTAGCTTCTGGGCTGTTCTTTAAACAAACCAGAGCTGTTCTGCCACCACAGCTCAGCTCAGACTGGTTCCCACTCGGGACACATTTTTCCTCAGATGCTTGTTCACAGGCATGTCGCCATCGCCTCTTGATTTGAAGTGCATATCTCTGTTTTATGTAAGGAGAATGGGCCTCTCCCACACGGAGATCCCTGCATGAGTACAGAGTTCTATTTTGTTAGTGGCTGGTACATAAAAAGTTCTGTACTGTATTTGTTGGCTGAATTAATGTGATATTGTAATGATGTGTTCTATGAAACAACAAACAATTCCAAACATGTTCAGCATTTTCAGCATAGCTGAGGACTGTACCCTCACTTGGAAACCTCCCGTGTGCATGTGTGCCTTTGAAGGTTGCTGGGAAAAATGGCTGGGACACTTTTACCAAATGCAACCCAACTGAAGGGAAAAGCATGCACACAGAGCAGGTCTACAGAAAGGTTGATGTTGACTACCAGCCCTGGAGAATGCGGCCTACTGTTTCTAGGCATAGTGGCATGCACCAGCAGTGCCAGCAAGAGGAGGTGGGGAGGTGAGGCAGAGAATTTGAGGCCAGACAAGGCCACATAGTAAGATCCTGTCTCAAATACACTACTCATGCCTTTGTCTCAGCACTTGGGAGGCAGAGACAGGTGGATCTCTGAGTTCCTGGTCTACAGAGGGAGTTACAGGACAGTCTCAGAAACACTAAGCAAAAAAGAAAAAAAAAAAAAAAAATCCTGTGAGCCCAATGTGGTGGAACACGTCTGTAATTCTAGCACCCAGGGAGGAAGAAGCAAGTGGATCTCTAGGAGTACAGGGCCAGCCTGTTCTATAAATAGAGTTCCAGGACAGCCAAGGCTACACAGAGAAACTCCATTTCGGGAAAAAAATTTTTTTTAAATAAATAAAACTAAATAATAATAATAATAATAATAACAATAATAAGTGCGGGTTAGGATGACTTGTTGTGGCCACTAGAGTGCGCTGTGTACCAAGTCTCAAGTGAAGCAGGGCAGTGGGAATCCCAGAAATGAGGGTTGGAGGGGCGCAGTACGATGGGACGGCTGTTGGCCGGCAGGCACTAGATTCCCTAGAAGCTTGTGGCACCCAACCCTACTACCTGCCACGGGCAGCAGGTGGTTAGGGAGCCGGCCTGGCCTGATCTTGCCAGGGCTGTTTGCTCTAACTTTGTGGTGCTGGGAATTGAACTTAGAACCTACGCTAGGCGAGAGTACTCCACCAATGAGCTAATTCCCAGACCTTTCTAACTCTTGGCTTCTCTGATTCCACTTGTTTTCTTTCTGTGGGTCATGAATAAATCGCTCCTAGGCACGCTCAACAGTCCGCACACTATTAACCCTCTCTGTGACAAACACACCACCCTGACCATTTGCTGGGGTTTTGTTTGGTTTTGTTTTCAGCTGGGTGGATCTGAGGATGTGTTGAGTGGGTCCCCTTGGTGTCTTATTTTTGTGTTATCAAGAAAAACCTTGGGTGAGTCTCCGTTGCTCCTCCAAGGCCTTGGTGTGGCTTGGTCTTTGGATGGGTGGCCTTGGCCTCTGTGTGGGACTGTGTCAGTCAGCACCGGGGTGGGGACAGCCCTGGGCCTGCTACAAAAGCTGTTCTTGCCATCACAGCCCTCAGACCTCTGGTGAGGCCTTAGATTGTCATCTAGTGCCAGTCAGACTCATATGTCAAATTTAAGCACAACTGGCAGAAATGCAGAGGTTTCAATAACGGTCCGGAGAAGGTCCAAGGGCCAGATCCTGATGCCTATCACTGGTTGTGGGACATGAAAATTAAGCAGGGCAGGAGCAGTAAGAGTGCACACTGCTCTTCTAGATGACCCAGGTCCTATTCTTAGCACCCACGTCAGGGGTTCCAACACCTCTGGCCTACATGAGCACCTGCACTCAGGTGCACAGACAGGTCCAAGCAGAAAGGGAACAACAACCCACTGATGAAACCTGATCCAAAGATTACCCTGCCTACAAGAAGTGCAGGGATAAAGAGGGAACAGAGATTGAGGGAAAGTCCAACCAATAATTGGCCCAACCTGAGACCCACCCACAGAAGAGAGCCAGCCCCTGACACTGTTAATGATGCTCTGCTATGCTTGCAGACAGGAGTCTAACTTGACTCTGGGAGGCTCCAGCCATCAGCAGATCGAGACAGATGCTGGTACTTATGGCCAAGCATGGGGCCGGGCTCCAGGGGTCCTGTGAAGTGTTGGAGGAAAGATGGAAGGACCTGGAGGGGACAGGGACCTCACAAGACCAACAGAAACAGGCAACCCAGTCCCGTGGGGGGCTACAGAGACTGAGATCAACTAAGGAGCATCCATGGTTGAGCATATGGTCTGGACCTAGTCACATATGTGGCTGATGGGTGGCTTGGTTTTCAT